ACAGCAGAGGATGTACCAGAACCTGAAAGTCTCAACTCTATTAAAAATAATTTAATGATATTTGATGATTTACAATTAACAAAACAAAACAAGTGTGAAGAGTACTATATAAGAGGAAGACATAGCAATGTAGATTGTTTCTATCTTGCACAAAATTATTTTTTGCTGCCTAGGAAAACTATAAGAGAAAATGCAAATTTTATTTGCTTGTTTAAACAAGATGGAATAAATATAAACCATATTTATAATGATCATGTTTCAAATGATATGCCAAAAGATGAGTTTAAAAAGTTTTGTAATGAAGCTTGGTCAAAAAAGCATGGATTTGTTGTTATAGATTTGTCTTCTGATTTATTAAATGGAAAATATAGAAGTGGATTAGATTTATTTTATTATCCAACTTCTTTGTGGAAACAATAAATATATATTTTTTAAAAAATATATATTTTTATGAAGCATTGGTTCTTTCAAAACTTAGTGAAGCCTGGATCACTTCGTGATCTAAAGAAACAAATTTAATAATGGTATATTCTTAAATGGAGAATTTTCTCCTAATAACAAACCTCTACCTACTGATGAATATTCATTTCCATTTTTTGAATAATATCCGTCTAAATGATTATAACCACTATTCCATGGGTTTAAAAATACACCTTTTCCTACTTTTCTAATTTTAAATCCATAACCATTCTTTTTTCCATAAATAATATCATTCTTTTTCATATAAATAATACCTTTTCCAGCAATTTTATTAACTATAGCATTTCCAGCAGCTGCAGCTGTTCCAGTCAATAATGCTGTTGCAGCAGTTTTTGCAATTACTGGAGCAGCACTTGCTAAAAATGCTAGTAAAGGTAGAAATCCACCATTTTTTTTAGCATTATGTTTAAGTTGTGCTCTACTCAGTGAAAGTGTTATACCCTTATTTTTTAAATATGCTGCTTTCATTCTGTTTCTTTGTGACTTTGTTAAAGCTATTTTGTGTTCACCATTTAAATCTTCATATGATAGATTTATACTAGCATTAGTATCAGATTCAATTGCTTTTTTAATTTTTTCTTTCTGAGTATCTGAAAGATTGATAAGAGTATCATAGTATATTGTCATTTTTTATATATAAAATAATTTTTTTAATTCACTTTAAGTTATTGCTTTCTGTAATGCTTTATACTCATCATCATCTATTTGCCCCTGTCGTAACAACTCATCACAAATAGCAACAATCTCATTTCTTGTTCCAGTATTTCCTGCTTGTAAACCAGCTAAGCGTAATTTAAGCATATCAAATAGTGCATTTGGATCACTAGGAAGAATAACAACTCCTTTTCCAGACTTTCCAATCATCTCTTCCCAAATAGGTTTTATTACATTAGTGTACTTATAACCTCTAGATGATTTTGGTTTAGCTAAATTTAAATCAGAGCGAATTGCATCTGTTTGATTTAAAATTTCTTTATACTTATTATGGTCATCGTTAGTATATCTAACAGGATGAGATTTTACTATAATCTCCCAAAGACCTGGTGTACCAATGTATTTTTTACCTTCAATGGTTATATCATCACCTTCAATAGTTATTGGTTTTTTACCAATGTAAAATTTTTTATCACTTTCATTGTAATGTATACCAAATATATCATCTGATACTTTTTTACTATTTTTAGCAGTATATAACTTTAGATATTCTGCTGCGATAGGTCCTAATCTCATGTTATCTACAACTTCAGGTGACATGATTGCTTTAGTTTCAGAATCTAGTAAAGCAGGATAATTTGAAAAAGTATTTGCTATTTGATCAGCTTTATTTTCTAATTTAGATATACCTTCTTTTATTCCAGATTGACTATCAATTATTGGTTTGTACAACTTTTCCAAGTTAGTCTGTAAAGCATCATAGCCCAACTTTTCATTTACATCATCTTGATATATACTTTTCTTTAAACTAGCAAGTTCTTTTGCTATTTTTAATCTTGCATCAATATCTGTAGCTTTTGCATACATTTTTATATAAGTAATAATTTTTTTAAATCACAATGTGATCCCTAGATCCCTAAAGGGATTAAAATCAACATATATTATGTTTTTTATACATAATATTTGTTCAAATAATACATAATATATGTTTTTTTAATTCTTAAGAGTATTATTCATCACTCCTATATTCTGATTTTTGTTAAATCTCCTATTTAGCAATTCCATAGCTTCTTTCATTGCTTTCTCTTTACCTTGATTAATGAGTGACTCTTTAGTCTGTTCATCTATATCATTCTTAGATTTTGTTCTAATTTGTTCAGTCATAGCTTGAAACTTTTCAAGTTCTGAAAGTATCATATTAAATTCTGCATCATCAATATATTGATCTGATGTAGCTTTAGAAATAAGACTACTTATTGTATTTAGTTTTGCATCAGCTAGTACTTTAATCTTTTCATGCTTTTCTGCTTTTATTGTTAATTTTTTAATAGCTTGTGATCCTATTAGTGATAATACACCCATACCTAATGCTGCACCTTCACATGCGATAGCTACTGGTGTACCAACTATTGTTGTTAAAAAACCAATACCAACAGCTCCAAGTGTCATAGTAGTTGCAAGTAATGTATTATCAACTGCTGAAATGATTCTTACAGCTCTGTGATATTTTTTACTTAAAATCTCTCTTCTTTTCCTTTCACATTCTATTTTATCTTGAATTTCACTAATCTTTTGTAATCTAAAGTTATGATCTATAGATTGTGGTGGTGCAGATGGATTTTCTGAAAACTGGTTAAGATCTGGATAAAGCTGCTTACATTCATTATTATATCCATTATTACATAGCATTTCTTTTTTCTATAAAGAAAAATTTGTTTTAAATCACTTTTGTTATCAATGCTTCGCTAAATCACTTTTTACCAAAATTAAATATATCTTCATCAGATTTATCTATACTAGGTTTATCTTTAATTACTTCTTCTATACTTGATAATAAAGATTTTACATATTCTTTATCACTTTTCTGTTTAGTTCCTGAGTCATTTTGTTGTCTAATTTGTTCTTCTTTAACATGTTCTAAAGCATCTCTATGTGATATATAATTTGCATTTAAAACACCATTATAAGTTGATATACAACATAACAAATCTCCTTTTTTAATGTTTATATCTTTTTTATCGTTATTATATACAGTTATTTTAATATCGTCAGTAGACTCTGTTACAATAGAATTTAGTAAATTTAGTTCTGGTTTATAATTTTCTGCAATTGAAATCACTATATGTCCTTTATCTATTTCAACACCACACATTAAAGAAATGTTATTATATGAATTTGATTTTACTGTAAAATCTTCTTGTGCGAATACTTTAATATGTCTATCATTTATTGCTCTATGTTCTAAATCTGAATTAATATTAAAAGTTATTCTATATTGTTCATGCTTTTCATAATATAAAAACATTCTACTATTATACATTTTATAAATGTAAAGATTTTTTTTAAATCACTCTGAAATCCTCATATCTATTTTGTTTTTAAATTTCTAGCAATATAATTTAAAATGCTTTCACCTTGATGTAAAAAATTACACTTTTTATCATTAACATTTTTATATATTAATATTTTTTCTCCTTTTTTATTTTTCTTTAATTTACTCTCTACTAATTTACATGGAGTATAATGACAAATTTCTACATTTTCTTCAATTTCTTTAAAAGAATGAGCATATTTGCAATTTATATTTTTACATTCTTTTTTATCAAGAATATATTTACATAATTTAGTTTTAGCTTTTCTTAATTTAGATAATTCTGACTTTTTTGGATGAAATAAAACACACTCTTTATTCTTACATTTAGGGTATTCAGAACAATGTCTATATTGACATGAAGATTTAGTACATATCAGTCTTTCCTTTACAGTACAACAATAAGGAATATCATGATTGTATTTACATTTTCTTCCAAAAGGGCAGAAATTATCATTTAAAATATTTTTACAAAAAATGGGTAGTTTCTCTACAAAATGAATTGTTGAAGGTTTTCCATCTTCAGTAAAATTAATATCAACATTAAATGGTTTTTCAAAACTAAATTTTCTTTTTTTGTAATGTTTTTTTGTTAAGAAACTATCTATAGCAGGATAATCATCATTAATAACATTATAAGTTGGAACATAATTAATCCATTTCAGCTTATCTTTACGCAGTTCCATGATTTGAACTGTTTTTAAAGGAATTGGAACTATAGGTTTTTCTTTAACTTCATCTTCATCATCAGATGTAAAATAAGTAGCTTCATCAGATGTATAATAAGTGTCATCTTCAGAATCTGATTCTTCAAATTCAAATTTTAATATTTCTTCAAAAAGTTTAAATTCTTTTTGAAATTCAGATATTTCATTAATCTCATCATCATTCATTTTTATTTTTTATTATTTGTAAAAATATTTTAAATCAAAAAATTAAAAATGAGTTAAATAATTTTCTTTACATAATAAAAAGAATGGAAAACGAAATGCAAAATTCATTTTTAAGATCAATAGATGAAAGATTAAGATTAATAGAAGAAAAATTAAATATTATTAATATTCATGATATTGAAATGAGTGAAGATTCTGAAGTTACTACAGTTACTACTACTGAAGTTACTGAAATTACAGAAACTACTGAATATAGTGATGATATTGAAATGACTGAAGAAGATGAAGATGATGAAGATGAAGAAGATAAAGAAGATGAAGATGACGAAGTTACTACAGTAACTACAGTAACTACTGAAATTACAGAAACTACTGAATATGTTAATGAGGATGATGAAGATGAAGTTGTTGTATTTGATTATGAGACTACACAGAATTAACAATCTTTTATTATTTTATTTTTGTAAAAAATAAAATTAATTGAAAATGAGTTAAATAATTTTCTTGTGTATATAAAAGAATGGAAAATAATATTGAGAATAATAAATTTTTAATAAAACCTTCAACTCAGGAATATTATATTACAACAATATTAAAAAACTATGGGTATAAACAAGGTAATAAGGTTGATTTTGCTGCTGAAATAGGTAGAAATGATCTTATTAAATTATTAAATCAATTAGGTGAAAAAAGTACAAAAGATGTACTAAAATATTTATATGAATTAGGGTATAGTGCAGAAGAATGGGCATTTAATTATGCTGTTCAAAATGGTCATCTTGAAGTAGTAAAATATTTATATGAATTAGGGTATAGAGGTACAGAATTTGCAATTTATTATGCTGTACAAAAAGATCACCTTGAAGTTGTAAAGTATTTAATTAAAAAAGGGTATAGAGGAGCAGAAGATTCAATTGATTTCGCTGCAGAAATGGGTCGTCTTGAAGTAATAAAATATTTACATTCGTTAGGATATAAAGGTACTGAATGGGCAGTTTATTATGCTGCAAAAAATGGTCACCTTGAAATAGTTAAATATTTACATGAATTAGGGTATAGAGGAACAGAAAAAGCAATTAAATACGTTGCAATGAATGGTCACCTTGAAATATTAAAATATTTAATTGAAAAAGGGTATGAACACTTTCATGTTGCAATTGATTATGCTGCAGGAAATGGTCACCTTGAAATATTAAAATATTTACGTTCTATTGGATATACGAAGTGACTATAAATTCTAGTAGTGATAAAGTTAAGCAATGTTTCACTACTACGCATAAGCGCTACTATGCTTAAGTAAATCTCAGCGCATGCGCATTAAAAAAATAAAAAAAATTTGAAAATGATTTAAATAATTTTCTTGTGTATATAAAAAGAATGAAAGACGAAGAAAAAAAAAAAAAAATAAAAATAATGTTATTAAAATATTAAAAGCAATTATTCGCGCTATAGAAAATGGTAACCTTGAACAAGTAAAATATTTGCATAAATTAAAGTATTATTATGAAGAATTAGCAATTAATTATGCTACTGAAAATTATGACTTTGAATTAGAGCAACAATTATATAAATTTAAGTATAAATATGAAAAATGTGCAATTAGTTCTGCTGCTATAAACGGTCACTTTGAAGTAGTAAAATATTGACTTGAAATTGGATATAAAGTTGATAAATTAGCAATTAGTTATGCTGCTATAAATAACCACTTTGAAATATTAAAATATTTACATGAATTAGGGTATGAATGTTATGATTGGACAATTGATTGTGTTGCTAAAAATGGTCACCTTGAAATATTAAAATATTTACATGAATTAGGATATAAAGGTACAGAAGATGCAATAGATAAAGCTGCTCGAAATGGTCACCTTGAAATGTTAAAATATTTACATGAATTAGGGTATAAAGGAACAAAAGATGCAATAGATAAAGCTGCTGAAAATGGTCACCTTGAAATGTTAAAATATTTACATTCTATTGGATATAAATAAGAAGCAAGAAAAATCACGTGACCTGTGACGTCATGCAAGAATTTTTCGTCATATTTCATAACAAGAAATAAAAAATTAACACTTATTTTAAAAAATCAATTTTTTAAAATAAAAAATTATTTCTTGTTGAAATAATTTATACACAATATGGTTCAATGTTAACCCAATATTAATATTAATTTATGGTTGAAAATTTGGTTGAAAATAAAAATGGCTCTGAACTCTCCTTTTCCTACTACTCATATTAAAAAACATTTGCAAAAAACTTGTAATTTTTGACATTTTTTTTTAATATCTCAAAAAATGTCTTTATATTTATGTTATCACGATAACAAAAATATCAAGATATTTTTTCGAGATATTAAAAAAAATCCGCCAATAAATGAACAATCTATTTGTATTGTACCCCAGCAAACATGTCAGCGTTGAATCAACGTTGAAAACCGGTCGCAAAAGATGTTGCGGAAACGTTGACAAAGTAATCGATTTTGCAAAGATATGTAACGTTGTTAAAGAGACGTTGATTAAACGTTGTAGCGTAACGTTGAAAAAACGTTACTAAAAAACGTTACAAAAATGTCTCAACTAAACGTTGAAAAAGCGTTACTTAAAAAGCGTTGCATAGGCGCCGCAACTTAACGTTGAAAAAACGTTACTTGAAAAGCGTTACTTTAACGTTGTTAAAGCAGTTGATTTTGCAAGGATTTGTAACGTTGGTAGTAAAACGTCAATTTAACGTGACTCAAAGACGTCGAGTAAAGGTTGAAATATAACGTTAAATCAACGCTCAAATGCGCTGGAGAAAATATCGCAAAATATTATTAAATGTGATTAAACTTGGTTATAATGTATATTGAATTTGCAAATAAAACAAAATTGTATGTTGAACTCTGCACTTGCAGTATTTCCAAAGTCGATTTTTAATACAAATAGTAATATACAATGAAAAACATAAAAAATATACAATTTATTTATATAAAATTTACAATTTATAAATAAAAATATAAACATCTTTTTTAAGATTTATGCGTGTGAGTGAATTTACAGGATTTATGTGTGTGAATAAAATTTATGTGTGTGAGTGGATTTACAGGATATCGTATCGATAAGC